TGTGTACTGGAGATCGAACTCAGGTCCTTGTGCTTGTGAAGCAGGCAGTGGAACCACTGAGCTAAATCCCTAGCCCTATAATATTTTATTTCTTTAAAAATAGCTGGAAGGAAGTATGATCATAAAGGAATAACTATTAATTCTGAATGGTAGGGTAAGAGTATTTTTCTATTAGTCTTTGTAAATTTCTATGTTTTAAATATGTACTGGAGATCGAACTCAGGTCCTTGTGCTTGTGAAGCAGGCAGTGGAACCACTGAGCTAAATCCCTAGCCCTATAATATTTTATTTCTTTAAAAATAGCTGGAAGGAAGTATGATCATAAAGGAATAACTATTAATTCTGAATGGTAGGGTAAGAGTATTTTTCTATTAGTCTTTGTAAATTTCTATGTTTTAAATACCTCAAAATATAAAAATATGAATGACTTGTCATTTACCTATTCATGTGACTAATATTATGTATCTTTTATGAGGTAGGCACTAATTCAAACCGGTTGGGTGTACGTTACCTGGTTCCATGCTCAAATCTGCCCAGAGGTCAGCAGTTTATTCAGCATTATTGATTGAGACGCTGACACAAAGCCACCCAGCCAGTATGTGGGAACTGCTGGGTCCCCTGTGGTGTTTGTTCCTCCAAAGATCACTCCACCATCAGGACTCCAGCCACAGACTTGGGTAGTGCAGTACTTATACTAAGTCTATCAAAGAAACTAAATATGTTGTGAAATTGAGACTGCAACTCATGCTTTGTGATTTGTCACACAAAGCTTTTAACAAAAGAGCATTATTATTTATCAATTGAATAAGGACTTTACATAGCTGTTATGCTAAAGAAATAGCCCCCCCATCACAATTTTATTTAGGAAATGAGAAGTACAGTTACCTGCCAGGATGTGTTCATACTGAGCACACTGGGCACAGAAACTCTGGCAGATGAGCCTAGGCCTGATGCATTGTATCCCCGATGGGAGGAAGTGCAGGGTGAATGCATGTACTGTGACTGTCTCATTCTCTTGGTATTGTCCTTGTGATCTGCATAGAGGTGGATGCATGTTTATCCATCATAAAATGAAATGAAAACCCTCCTTCTTTTCTTTTTTTTTTCTTATTTCTCAAATTAACTAGAGATTATTCAGCCAGGCTTCTCCTCATGAATTTTTCCTTCTGCTTCAGAGTTCTTCTGGTGGTTGGACTGCCTTCTCACTTTGCCACATGGATTCAACCACTGTTCATTGCTAAGCCTTCCCTTCACTGGGACTGCATTCTTACATTCCTGAACTTTAAGTAACTGATGACTAATCCCTAGGTTTCCATAAATTTGTCATTAAATGATATGTGAACACGTTCATTCTTATTTGAACCTCGGGGACTGGCTTCTAAACACAGTGACATGACAGTTTCTTCACATGGATTATTTAATTACAGAGCTGCAATTTGTCCATTCCAGCACCTAAATGTGTTTCCATTGTCATGAAAACCAAGATACGTTTTTCACACCAAGACAGATTTTCTACACTCTGTGAGATTTCTGGATCTTTGTCCAGAAAATCAAAATTTAATTTGTAATTAAAAGTTTTCAAGATTTTAAAAGATTGCATCAAATAATGTTCCAGTACCAACAATTATACAGTTACTTTGCAAGGAGCAAACTAGGGACATACAGCTTAGATTGTGCAGAGGAGAGAATTATTGAGTCCCAGGGTGAAGAAAGTGGGGGCTTCAGAGGAGATCAGATGCTCTTTCTGTGACAGGGGAACACAAGGTAAAGGCAAAACTCCCCAAGTGCACCTCACATATGTCCTTCACTGACCCTGCATCTGGAGTTCAAAGTCACAGTTATCGAGAGCTCATGATTCAATACACTTATGTGAGGCAGACTAGAAATGGCATTTTTGCTTTGAAGATTTTCCAGTTCAGCAGGTCCTACTATTTACTAAATTCATTTTGGGAGAACTCCATAGTGGGCCTCAAAAATCTTTCTCTTGGTTCCCCATAGATTAAGTAATGTTAAAGCATCATCTTTAAAACTTTTTCGAGCCCACGGAAATAAACTGCTTAGGCATTTAGACTGAAGCACTGGTATAAAGAACCTTACTGCTCACGATTTGATCATAACTTGAGGCTCTGAACAGCCAGGTCATGGTGGTTGAGAGGCCTAGGTCAGGAGCTCATTAACTTACCAAATGCGACTGCAGCCTCACAAATGCCAGCCCCACAGTTCTCTTCCCTGGGACTCACTGGAAGTACAGCAGGAAGACTTCAGTGTGGACAAGGACAGGAGAAAGACGGCCTGTAGGGAATCTGCAGAAGGGAGAACGATGAAGTGGTGACAGGATGGAGTAGGGTCTGGATGGATGAGGAAGGAGTCAGTGGGCACACAGGTCACACCACCTCATGGCACAGGGCACCACACACCCAGGTGCCAGTCCCAGTGAGAAGCCCACTGCAGGCAGCATGAGGGAGGGATGGAGGCAGCAGGGCACTGGCCTGCAAGGGACCTGCTGTGGGCTTCTGGCTGATATGCGGTTGGTCCCTGCCTTTTCTGCCTCTTTCTATGTAGTAGAATTTTTCTCCTCCAAATTCCCTTAAGTAATTATCTCTAACAAGGACTGGGTGAGTGTATGGTCTCAGAGGAAAATCACTCTTCCCAACACACACACACATGCACACATACATGTACACATACTGCAGTCACCTTAGAAAGGGCGCTGAATGGTTTCCACTGAGTTTCTTTTTATTGAGTCCAGTAGTTAGTAGCAAGCATTAAGGCACAGAAAGTGACCCCTCTGTACTCAGCTCAGAATGGACATAAGAGTATGGGAAGGGTGGTACCAGGATATTGTGTGCCTCAGTCTCCTTTTGTGACACACTGTCTCTATCATTTGCTCTGTGCATAAAGTGCAAAGAAGTGCTCTTATTTCAGTGCCTTTGACATTTTGTTCACTTAAGATTGGTTTTCTAAGCAATTTAAGATCCATAGTAATAAAGTTTAACTGAAATATTTTCTAGTTAAGGGAAAGGAGATGAATTTAAAAAGAAAAAGATTAATTTTTGACATTAAACATTAACACAAAAACAAAACATAGGCCACAAATAGTAAAATAATTTTATTTCAATTTTCCTGTAAAAATTAGGACATTATGAAAATCTTAAGAAATTTCTATCCATTTGACTGACATATGACTTTAGCTAAGTCACTAGAATAAATTAATAGGTCATAAAAACAATAAATAACGGCATGGATGCACTCTTTGGGATCCCTTTAACATCTGTTAAAGTTATAAGATAAGCAATATATGAACAACTGCATATCAAAATTATATGTTCTATATTAGTTGTCGAAGACTTCTAAGGGGGATAAATTTCACATTCCTCTCTAGAGCCAGAGATTTTAACTTATATGTGAGATACCACATGCAAACACGCTTTGTATACTTAAAACATTATTTAAATT